ATGACTGGAATGAAATACTAACTCATTTTTTAAATATTATTTCACAACTTACCCAAGTCCCTAACCATGGTCAGGCTTTGTCTGTTCAAGGGCCTTTCCCTTGATGCTGGGCTTTCATATTGAAAGAGGACAAACACTAAGGATGGAACCCTAATCCCATTTACATGGGAGTAAGTCCTACTGAATTCAATAGGACTTACTTCTAAATAGATACACTGTAAGCCTTTAGCGGGACGCGGGTGGCGCTGTGGGTAAAAGCCTCAGCGCCTAGGGCTTGCCGATCGAAAGGTCGGCGGTTCGAATCCCCGCGGCGGGGTGCGCTCCCGTCGTTCGGTCCCAGCGCCTGCCAACCTAGCAGTTCGAAAGCACCCCCGGGTGCAAGTAGATAAATAGGGACCGCTTACTAGCGGGAAGGTAAACGGCGTTTCCGTGTGCGGCTCTGGCGAGCCAGAGCAGCGATGTCACGCTGGCCACGTGACCCGGAAGTGTCTCCGGACAGCGCTGGCCCACGGCCTATAGAGTGAGATGGGCGCACAACCCTAGAGTCTGGCAAGACTAGCCCGTACGGGCAGGGGTACCTTTACCTTTACCTTTAAGCCTTTAGCAGGCCTTTCACTTTTAGAAGATATAACAACAACAACAAAACCCACATGCGGTATTCTACCAAATTGCTCATTAAGAAGAAAAACTGCTTCCAGGCTTCCTGAGCAATAAATGCAAAAGCTTTGGGGATATTTGACAAGCTCTTGGTACTTATGCTTATTAATATTAAAATGGGAATTTCTTTAAAATGCTAATTGAATGAATGCACGTTTACTCAAAAGTAAGCCCCACTGAGTTCAGTGGGACTTAGTCCAAAGAAAGTGTGTGCAGCATTACAGCTGACATAACTTTATTTTGAATTTCTTAGACTACCTATAATTAGCTACATACTATTTTGTACCTCCTCCTCTGTCAAATGGTTGGCTACAGCCTGCCCAAAATGCCTAGGGCCAAAGCAGACCAGACGAGATGCAGAAATAGAATCCCAGTTTTATTAAACTTCAGCAAATAGCAGCTGCATGGGAGCCCAATTATAATGTCTCAATAAGATGAATGGGCTGAAGGCTTTCCCATCCTTGCTTAACACACACACAAAATAGAGGGTGGTAGTCAACTAAGTTTCACACACAGTTGAGTTCGGTCCATTATATTCAATGAGTCTTTTAGCAGGGAATTTTCCTAAGGTTGTCTGACCCTACCCCCATCAGTCACTCCCAAGGCTCTGGACTCTGGTCCTGGATAAGTTGAGAACTAACATTTAAAGCCTGAAGCCACATTTAATTTCAATCATCACATATCACTCCATGTTCTACCAACCAGGGATGCATAATAACTGGCTTTTCAGGAGTTGCTCTTTCGAAACCTAGGCAGCAAACCTGATGCCAATCTCCAGTTTGTCCGAAATGCATCACTTCTAAGGCAGAACTAATTTTGCTGATATTCTGAAAACCTTCATCGACACTCTACCCTTGAATACATTTATTATTCCTTCCTTCTCTCTCCCCCAGAACACTGCACATTAAAACCAGAAACACTGCTCCAGTGAGGGCTGCAGGAGATTATACATTTAAATAAAACATGCACAGAATTAATAATAAAAGTTAAAAATAGAGAAATTAGTCAGCTTGAGTTTGGCGCTTTTTGAACCTGGCACTTTCTGTTGCTATGCAGGGCAACAGAAAAGGGTGCTGGATTCAGAGAGCGCCCAATTCAAGCAGAGGCTGGGAAGCAAGAATCAGGAGCACCCATAAGAGAGCACTTTTGAGTCTTCTTTTTCAAGCTGGCACCTCAACTTTACTTGTGCAGCACCTCAAATCATATGATGCCAGGTGATTAACTGGCTGACGTGTTTTTCCCCTAAATGGCCTGGTGGGCATAATTAGGCCCATGAGCCAGAGATCTCCCACTGCTGCTGCAAACTCTTCAGCACCACGATTCCATTCTATGAGAAGGGAGGCAGAAAGCACCACCCACACGTCAGCCTCTGAATTCATGAGTGGCAACTAACTGTCACAAGCCCCCACCTTGCTTGCTCCATCTTTACTCTGGACACCCAGAGGTGATCTTGTTTTAGCTCACCCCGGGGTGATTTCCCCCTCAGTCACAAGAGCTGCCTGAAACTGGATTGCAGAAAGGGTTGTGTTATATATAAGTCTAGACAAGTTTGTGTTTGTGAGGTCTCTTTTCATGGCTGTGCTACATATGCAATGTACTAGTGCGATAAACTGTGTCAAGGTATGATACTTTAAAATGGTAGCAGTGGGCCTCCTGAAAGATGAGCAAATGAATAAAGTGAAATAAGCCCCACTGCATCTCGAAGAGGAGGGATGTTTTGCTCTGGCTGTTGGGTTGCCTTTGGCCGAGTGGGTCATTCAGCTTACTCTTCGTGTAATTGGTTGAGCAAGACTAACTTAAATCCTTTCACAAAGTCTACTCTTGAGTATGACTAGAGCCAACCTTCAGTTAAAAGGCAGTTGATTAATCAACTAAACATTATTTAATTGGCTGACAGGCCTAAAGAAGTGTTATTGCCAGGTTCATCTCTAACCGTTTGGCCGTGAGAATAATCCTCCTGCTGGAGCAAGTTCCACCAACACCTATGAGATTGACTTCCAGCAGGGATGGGCCACGCGGCATTTTTGAATGCATAATCAGCATTCATTCCCTGAGATTCATGCTTGTGAAGAGATGGGGAAGTGCAAAGAACACCTCGGCTTGCCTCCTATAAATATATCATTCAGCCATTTCACATAGTTGAAGTCACGTGCTTCTCACTCTACCAAAATCTGAAGGAGAAAGAATTGGGGAGAACATTCATCCTCCTCACCTCCAATAAGCACTTAAGAACAGAGGCCTATGCCTCCCTTGGACCCCGAGGGAACTGTTGGAGGGTAGGTTTGCTGCTCCTGGTGTTATTTGGGGGAATCAGCCACCTATGGGGTGCTCACTTTGCTAATAGATGGCTCAATAATGGTAACTTCAAATTGCCTGCTTTAGTTTCTTCTCAAGTTCCTTTTCAAGAGTTCCAAAGTAACCAATTTTGTTTGTATTGTTTAAGTCTTGGGAGCTGCAGGCACAAACAATTATGCACAGCACTGCACCCCCAATAGAACACCATTGTTGCTACATTTTGGCACAGACAAAGGCTACAATAAAAACATCAAAATGGTATTTCTTGGTCATTTTGAAGAAGGGATTAGAATGAAGAAGAGCCCTACCCACGGCTACGATAGCCGAAATGGAATTCCTAAGTCCAGAGACCATATGCCACAGAATACGAGTTGCTGAGGGACAATAAGTTGTGAGGGCTCTTGCCTTCAAGTCTTGCTGGTTGGTTTCCAGAAGGCATTTGTTTGGTCCCTCAGGGAAAACAGGATGATGGCATTAGATAAATGTTTGGTTTGATCCATAAGGCCACCTTTGTTCTTAACAGAGAAAGAACTGTCAAGGGTGGAGCTCAGACATATAGTTACACCCACAGCATACATGCAGTACAAGAAGCCATACAAAAATGGAATGAAAGTGCATTCTGGCTGTTGTACCAGCTTTTTGCAGGTGCAATTTTGGGTGTAACAAGATACCAAAAAAAAAAAAAAAAGATAAACCAGTAACAAAATTGCAAGAGAGAAAATGTACTTTTACAGACTGCAAGTTAAATTCAGAAAGCCTTGACATTCCCAGATCTTTAAAAAGCACACACAACACACAAATGCAAGTATATGGCAAGCGTGGTGAACTACCTCACCCATTTCAGCCAATGGAATGTAACAATGGTCTGCACAATGACCAGAGATTAAAAAGTATTAATACCCATGCACCTGGCAGCTATTTACGTGCAATTTTCCTCTGCTTTGTTTCATTGCCTTTGATTTTTGTTTCCATTGTCTATACTGTTCATATCAGTTTTCATTAAGGAAAAACAGGCATGCACAGGAGAAATTAAAGTCACTCTTTGTTGACATACTAGAAAGTTACTGCGATCTGACTCGCAGGCAACCTGCCATGTTACATGGGGGGGGGGGAGCAAACACAGTCAGTTTCCCAAGGTAGATTTCAGTCAGTGGTCAATGGGGGTGGGTGCAGGAAAGGGAGTATACTACGGTGCCAGAAGGTTGGACAGCACTGATCCTCCAGACAAACACTCTTCTTCAGGTTTGTGAGATGTGTCTTTATCGTTACTCTTTAGTTAAAGAGAAATGAAGGTGGTGGTGGTGCTAGAAGTCCCTAAGGGACAGTTTAGAACTAGTTAGAACAGATCTGGTTTGATAGCTACTAAAATAATAATCCTGTGGTATCTTAAAGACTAAAACTGATCAAAGTGTAAGCCTAGGCCACGCCAAGTGTGTTCATCCCATAAATGTACCTTTTTTTGCTACAACAGAGGCTACCCTCTGGAATGGGTCACTAAGAGGCACCAACAACAAAAAGAGCACCATGTCCAGCATATAGGAAACATGGAGGATAATGATCCAACAATGAAAATCACTACCCGCTACAGTACTGCCCTGGCTTCAGTCTGTTCCAGGAAAACTAGAGATTTCCTCCACCCTCCCTGGTGGTGGCTTGAAGTTAGCCTCTCCAGCCCCACAAACGGCCTGCCAGCCCTCCAAGTAGGTTTTGCTCACAGCAAGCTGTTGTTAGCATGCTGGCTAGGTAGTGTACTGGCCCCCACAAGACCCCCTAGGCGAAAAGCAGCCAAGTGCACTTCTGAGGTGTGCCTGCCTTGCTCCAACCCTTCCTGGGGCTACAGCATTCATTGATGCCGAAGAAACAATGCTCTTCTAGCGTGCCTTTTGCTCCACAAGCATCGCAGACTACTTTGGCGTCGAGTTTTATTCTAGTCAACACAATTTGATTTGGCTGAAGCCAAGTCTTTTTTCTAAGGCGCTTCAAATTTAGACACACACCCCCTCCTCTGCTCCAGGACATGAAAGCCCCCTGCTCTTCCCCGCCGGTACCTCTTTGCAGGCGTGCAGCTCCTCTCCCGGAGTAGCGGCGCCTGCCCAAAGCAGCAACAGCAGAGAAAGCAGCAGAAGCGGCAGGCGCCTCCGCCCGAGCTCGGCACCAGGGAGGCACCGCCAGCACCCAGCTGTATCCGGCCGAGGAGGATGGACACCGCCAGCGGCCCCAGCCATCGTGGCGCAGAAGCGGCACCGAGCAGCTTCCCCGCGCGTCTGGATGAGGCGGCCACCGACTCACAGGTGCAGCGGCGGCGGTGGCAAGAGCAGCAGCAACAGCAAGCAGCGCTCTCAGGCGGAGATGGGATGCGGGAGCCCCGCCCCCTGTCCGCCTCGCGCCGCCCACACCTCGCTGCCTAGCAACCGCAGCTGCCTCCGCCGCGCCGGCCTCCGGCTCCCGCGCACCTGAGGCGGCTTGAAAGATGCGCCCGGGGGACAGAGGCCGTTTGCTGCTGGCGCGCGCGTCGTTCGAAGGGCGCGCGAGCCTCTTGGCGCGCTCGCCGCCGGCGCGTGACAGGCCGCGCGACCATAACAAAACAAAAGCCCGCCTAATTTTGAACAATAGGAAACGGCGTAGCCGGAGGGAAAGAGGTTCAAGGGTTAGGGTCGTTGGCCCCCTGGGAGTCAGCCGCGCTGGATTCAGCAGGAGTTGCTTCTGAGTAGACGAGGGTTAGGCTCGCTCTGGGAACGACTAGGCCACACCACCTGCTCAAACCACTCCAGGGGGCGAACAGCTTGAATTTGGGCGGGGGGCGATTAAGCCCCACCCCACATGATCGATTACATGGCATACACACTATTTGAATGACGACGCACATCAACTCTGCGGGGGCCGTTTGCCAGTGCCAGATTTGCGTATAAGCCAAATAAGATATAGCTTAGGGCCCCACTCTCTTGGGGGGGGGAATATTTAAAGGGGGGATAACTGGATGTACATTTCCAAAATATAGGATGAAAAACATTAAATAAGACCTACATACAGCAAGTGTTTCGTGTTGTGTAGGCTTCTATGATGCAAGCAATGGGCCCCCAATCATTTTAAGCTAGAGCTTAATAATTATTTCACTAGTCATATACTTCTTAAATGTGTTTCAGTTCAACAATTGCTTTGATTAAATACATATTTTATGTGCAAATGGCTTTAGATACCTATTAGGTCCATAAATTACCATATAGCATATATTCAACACAAAAAACAGCGACCATTTGTTGTTGACAAAGGACAGCTGGACATATAAAGGGCCCCATTACCTTCAGTAGCTTTGGGCCTCATCAAACCTAAATCTGGCCCTGTTCAGCCCCCTCAAATATCTCATTGGATAGGCCGAAGGGACCTCGGGGCCGCCCCGTGGGAACTATTTGCTGTGAATCACTCGCAAAACACTTTAGGCTTAAAAGGACCTTGAATATTATGTTTGTTGTGACAGCTCAGATTTTTCCTCTTCTTCTGTTTTAACGGGCCTCCCAACCACATTTACAGAACGACTATGCCCACTGATGTGGTTGGTGTAAATGGGGTGCTTTCTGTGTGGGAAGCTTAGAACTGGGTACTGATCTATTTGCAGCGCAGATGTTTCATGATCTTTCCCTGGTTGGTGGTTTATTCGAGAGCACCACAGAAAAGCAACAAACCACGGAAAGCCAGTTTCAAACAGCAGCGAAACTGAACATTGAAAGCCGGGGGGGGGGGTTGTTTTAAAAATCAGTTTTTCTCTGGAAAGCAGCAAGGGAGAAGCCTGACCACTCTGCATTGGAAAAGTATTTCATTTTTATTTATTTTTAATAAATCATTTTTATCGGGTTTTACAAATACAAAGTACAAATAAACACAAATTAGGGGGGGGGACGTATCTATATTGGAAGAGTATTTCCCATGCAGCTGCTATTTGCCACCAGCGAGGACGTCCTGTCTCTTGGGTCTCACCAAAAGCCCGTCGTTTCTAACTCGCCAAGCTATTGCACGGCCGCGTGCATCTGTTGCACGAGCGTGCTGCTCGGAATGGCGCGTGTCTTTGCACCAGGCCCTCCCTGATGTCTCTTCCTTTCTTTTCCCGGGAGGTAGGCGGCCGGGATGTTGTTTTAAACTTAGAGGGCAAATGTTCCTTCCCGCTTTTAGCATACCCACGCGGCTGTTATAAACCGGTTTTCCTCGCAAACGTTAACAGGGAACCCACATGCAAGTCTTTAAATAGGAAAACTACATATGCAATTAAGAGCGAGATTAACTATTCGGTCCACTTGAACTACCAGCTATATAAAATCCTAAAAAAGCCCAAACCTATTTTTGTAAATAAAATAATAATAATCCGCCAACGTCTTTTATTTCTGGGGATCGCGGCGTCAAGTCTGGAGCATCTTCTCTCCTCCCCGCCCCCGCCTCTCCAGATCTCTGTGCTGACTAGTCAGCTAATTACACGTCGCTCTCTCAGAAGACCAATAGCCTTGCGCCCTCCCATTTGCACCGTCCTCCTTTCCTGCTGCTGTTTATCCCTCCGGGAAAATTCTGACGTTTCCTTCCCTGTGCCGCTTTTTGTGCTACTATTCCCAGCCATTAGAGGGCGCCTTAGAGAATGTGCTGCGGGCTCTAAAAGCCCGGGAAGACGGTCGCTTAGCAACCGCCGCCGGTTCCTAAACAAACCTGACACGCGGCGAGAGGGAACCCGCGATCTGCTTTTGCTGCCGCCACTGGATCGCCCATCCTCTGGAGCATGCCAACCACCAGGGACCCCTTTCCATTCCCACACTATGAAAATGAAGAGACCTGCACGGGCAACAACAGATGTACCCAGGTAAGAGGGCCACCTATTAAGAATGCCCTCACCCATTTAAAAACATTTTTAAATGCACCCCTTTACATTTATATTAACAAAGCGCCTAAAGTCATCCTCATGCCACTGAACCTCTTTGGCATTATTGCAACTCTTGCTTCAACCTGACCTCATTGCTCTACTGTCAGGTGGTAAATGTTATTTGATTGTATTTTTTTATCCTGCTTTTCAGACAAATATTGCCACCTAAAGAAGCTCAGGTCAATTGTTTGTTTCATTTTTCAGTAGATTTTAGAAGAAAAAGTCTCAAAACTGTTTGACAATAAAATACAGCATGTATAAACTATTTAAAAGCAGAGGAAAAAACACTAGCAGAGAAATCTGAACCTGGCAACTAACAGATTTTATTGCTTTGGTTTTTTTGTAAATTGCTTTGAGGTTTTTTACGATCAAGCAGTGTACTAATTTTATGTAACAAACAAATAAATAAAAACTGACGAAAATGGTGACAGGCATCTCTCCCTAGCAACAGCATTCCATATAGACAAGAACACAATGGAAAAGGCCTTTTGTTGTGTTTGAATTTTTTTTAAGAGACACAAGACTCAGGCTTACAAACCAAAAAAAAAAAAAGGGGGGGAGAGATACACAATAGTTTCAAACCAGGCATTTATACGCACATTTGGGCCAGGCCATTCTTCGCTTGTGGTGTTTTTCACAGAATTGCAAAGGAAGGATGCAAAAAGAGCCCATTTATGCTGAAGTTTAACCAAACTATTAACCTGGATTAAAGGGGTTTTGAATGGGAGGAATGTTATAGTCCTGCTTAACTTTCACTGGGTAGAGGAAACGTCTTATAAAAAATAAAGATTGATTAAAAGGAAACAGAGGGAAAGCCAAAGCAAGAGGGTTAGATATCTTCAGAACACTTGGGAAAGGGGGAGGAAGGGTTATCCAAAACTACAGTAATAGAAGCTGAGCTAGTACATATACTGCAGATCAGGAAAGACGTCACAAAATCCAAAATAAGGCCAGAGTGATTAGCAAATGAGAACCAAAAAAAAAAAAAAAAAAAGACAATTTTTTGCAAAACAAATGCAAGCAGACAATGCAAAAGTAAGGCATTGAGGAGCAAATCACGAAAACCATTAGGACTAACAATAATAAAATGCTTTCAATACACCAGAATCTGGAAAGCAACTAGAGAAGACCCCCGGTTTACAGATTTAACTGGCCCTTGGACCTCTCCTCAAGCCACTCCCCTCTCACGGGTCACCCCCTTACCCCCTGAGCATTTCCCCCTGATTGCAGTTTGTCCTGGAACTCTGATAATGCCTCTTGCTTGCTTGCTTGTGTGTGCAAACCAGCCTATCGTAGAAAGGTAAAATGTGCACGTTGCTTTGCCTACTTTTGTCTCTGCCTCCAGCCACCATTGGCATATGGCCCTCAGAAGGTTGCAGAGAAGGGAATGTGTCCCTTGGGCTAAGAAAGAAGCTTTCCTACTCCTGCCAAGGAATATTTGTCCTGGTTTACTGGCCGCACTTAAAGCATCTTAAAAAGTAGAGACATCACCTTGCCAACAAAGGTCTGTATAGTAAAAGCTATGGTTTTCCCAGTAGTGATGTATGGAAGTGAGAGCTGGACCACAAAGAAGGCTGATCGCCGAAGAATTGATGCTTTTGAATTATGGTGCTGGAGGAGACTCTTGAGAGTTCCATGGACTGCAAGAAGATCAAACGCGTTCATTCTGAAGGAAATCAGCCCTGAGTGCTCACTGGAGGGACAGATCGTGAAGCTGAGGCTTCGTGAATACTTTGGCCACCTCATGAGAAGACTCCCTGGAAAAGACCCTGATGTTGGGAAAGATGGAGGGCACAAGAAGGGGACGACAGAGGACGAGATGGGTGGACGGTGTTCTCGAAGCTACCAGCATGAGTTTGACCAAACTGCGGGAGGCAGTGGAAGACAGGAGTGCCTGGCGTGCTCTGGTTCATGGGGTCACAAAGAGTCAGACACGACTAAACAACAACAACAACAACAACAACACTGGCCGCACTAAGCCAATCTTTGTCTTTGCACAAAAATGCAGGCTCCCAGAGAGGAGCCTGCAGCCACTTTCTTCCTCCACACTCTTTATTTGCTGCAAAATAAAAAAGGGGGCTGGGAGAAGTGGCCCAATGACGCAGGCAGCACTTTCCTTCTTCTCCACTGTCACTCACCAGGAAATCTATTTTCATGTGGTCATAAATCTACCTCTCTGCACCCTCAGATTAGGATGCACATTACTGGTAGTCCTGGGAACATCTAAGAGAACCCCTCTGACCCACCTATTCCACAAATCTACCTTAACCTCAGTTGCGTTTGACCAGCTGGCTCCAGGTGTGAATCAGCAGTGACTTGTATGTTCCTGGTCAGATTGACTGGAGGGCACATCAACATAAGGAAGCAGCTGACTTTTGAGTGCCAGGTGGCACTTTGGAAGACAGAAGGCAATACTGGAAGATGTTGTCACAATGCACTACCCTCAGTTAAGAATGCACATTATCAATACATTCCTTTTCCGGGCAAGATAAAGGACTCCATTCATTCCCTTTCAACAACTTGGGTGAGGGAGCACAGAGAAGCTCCCTACCCCACACATTATACTCTTTCCAATAATGGAAGAAAGTGTAAGTACATTGCAAGGACAATTGTGGGAATAGAGAGAATACCAAATTTTATCAAAGGATGGTTCTAAAATCTCAAAGTGCCACAATATATTTTGGGACTGCTGAAGCCACTAATTTTACACAAGTGCACTTTATGAAAAAGTACTTTTAAGAGTAACTTGGAGACTCTAGACGATAAGACTACTAGTCTCTACAAATAAATGTAGCCTCAGCAATATATAATTGCTCCTCGCTTAAAACACTTCTCGCCTTTCTCTTTAAACCAGAGACTGCTTCCTGGTGGCCTGCACACAGCAGCAAATCCACAGCACGTGGTCCATCTGCTGCAACCTGTTGCCATGCCAAGGCTGTCTTGCCAGGCTTCGCTCACTCCTTTTGGGGAAGAACAGTGGCTCAGTGGTAGAGATTCTACTGTGATTGATTGACGGAATTTCTATACCACTTAATATATTAAAAATATTTCTACCGCTTAGTATATTAAAATATATCTAAGTGGTGTACAAAGGATGGCTGGCTAGCATCCATTGCCACAGCTGTGTCCCCTTCAGCTGCATTCTCCACCCCCAGTTCCAGGTACAGTAGGTTTGTTGAGTTTCCCAGGGTGAGAATGGAAAAAGCCCCCCCCCCCCCCGTTGTTCCTTCACCCTCTTGCTCTGTCCTACTCTCCTCCAGCCGCTTTGCATGCAGAGGGTCCCAGGTTTAATTTCCAGACAGAGACACAGACCTCTGCCTAAAACACTGAAGACCCTCTGCCAGTCCATGTAGGCAATGCTAAGCTAAATGGACGGAGGGTCTAATTTAATATAATGTAGCTTCCTGTGTTCCCGTCTCAGAGTATAGAAGAGAAACGATGTGAGGTGAAAGAACTCATGATGCTGCCTCTTCTGCCAATGTGCTGTCCTCTACTCTGAAAATATGAGAACCAGCAGGTTGGGAGTGTGTGTGTGTTCATTGATAGGAGGAAGGTCATTTTAGCTACAGGTCAGAAAACAACTCATTTTTAACCTCACGTAAATCATCCCATGGACCCTAATCTAGCACAGGCAGTACTGTCAGGCATATCAATTTTAGCTTTATAGATTTATATAGCTTTATAGCTTTATATAGCTTTATAGATTTTATTTAGCTTTATAGATTTTATTTTATACACTCACAGCCATGTTCACTCTTGCACGAAGCTTTATGAATGAGCATGGGTTACTGTTCACCCAGAAAAAATACTGATAAGAGTGCTAAAATGCACCGTTACCCAAAATTTGCTGATGGCTGAAGATTAGCAAATGTGGCATCAGTTCCCCAGAACATAGACACAGCTTCCATACCAAGAACTTGTGGAAAACAGAAATGTCTAAAACAACGTAGGGCCTGGGTCCAAAAAGCCGTGGGAGAAAGGGGTAAAAGCAGGACCCAATATACAACCTCTTCTACAGCAGCTTCTATATGCACTTAACAAGAGCTCCAGATGCACATCCCGACTACTTTAGTTGCTCACTGGGTAACTATGAGAGAGAAAGGGGCATAAGCGGAAGTATGACTTTAGAATTTGAACAATTATACTACTCAATGAGGCACAATGCCTCATTTTGGTTTCAGATTGGTCATTCTGAAATAGCACTGCACAGGGTTGGCCCACCTAACTTGGCTGACAGGGTCCATCTCCTCAGGCTGAACAAGTTTGCAATCACTCCTTTAAGTCTCTTACACTTTTTATTGATCCAGAAAACTCCCTACTGTGTGCCTACTCATCTTGCACAGCAACGAGACCCCTGGAATCGACTACATGGAACACCTACGCTAGCAAGCATCAGAAGAGAAATCTGGTATACAGAACCTGAGGTAAAAATATTCACCTGATGCTACCATCCTTTGCTTGTGTTGCAAGGCTCTTTTTGCTTTGCCCTCAATCGAAATAGGTTGGCTTTCATGCACTGTCAGCTTTGCTTTTAAATGGGCTACACTTTGACCCCTCAACACCTATAGTTGCACTGTGTACTTAAAGCAGACTTATAAAAACATCAATACTGATTTCCCCATCCCTTCTTAAACCCATGGCTAGGTTTCCAAAGACAGTCTCGATTTTAACCTCAGTGCTCTGTACAATCACCACAAAGACCTGCTTAAAGACAAGAGCAAGGTAGTTCTCCATAAGGAGACCCTATTTGATGACCATGGGTAAGTGGAATTCATTGTTCTTGTAGAATTCAGCAAACAGCATGACTCTCCACAGAATTTGCACGAGCCAAAGGTGCAACGTGTAGCTATGAGGCAGGTTGTTTCCGTACTTTACTGAAAACATTTCTTCATCTATGTGCAGATGAGACACACCATTCTCCTGCCACAGTATACAACACAAAAACAGTGCAGGAAGTGCTTCTGCTTTGGCTTGTATTGCATGGGTATCCCATATCTTATCCATCTGCACTTGCAATAATAGGCAAGTGCAGACAATGCTGAAGCAAGCAGCTTTGCACTGCACACTGGAAACCCAAGCCAGTGAATATTACCTTGGCAAAATATGGGTCTCTACTTACTTAGCACTCTATATTGTCTTGGGGTGCTTCTCAGTGAGAGCACACCTAAAGATCTTAAATCACTTTAATGCTTACAGATATAAAAAAAAAATCATACTCCAATGCAAAAAATATGGAAGTGATGGCCTCTGCCCAGAATTTATTACTTTCTTGCATGTTAATGCATGTTCTCACTCTTGTTTTTGAGACAATTGAAGGGTTTAGAGCCTGTGAAGGAACGCACAGCACTTTCGATTCAGCAGCCTACTTCCAAGGGTATATCTGTGAGACATTGGGTCAACCCAGTAAGAGAGTCAATCCACAACATTGAAGGAGCTATTGGTAAGCACAAGTTGCAGACATTCATTTTACCTCTCCTAAAGAGAGGAGTAAGAACATAAATCCACAGTGACCAGCTCGTGTTCAGCAAATCTAACTCCTACCTAGATACCCTACTCTCCCAGGTCCTTTTTAATTATTCTGAATATCAAGCTTCTTTTATTTACATTATCTAATCATTATTCTTCAACCTATCCCTGTGTTAAAAACTAATACATTCAGAGTAGATATACTTTTAAAATCAGGGCGATGAAAGCTCCTCTACGTTTATATTCTGCTTGAGAAACCACTGAAATGAATGGTGTGGATCACACTTTAAACTAGACTGGAGAAAAGTCTTCAAAAACATTGTTGGCCACTAATTGATAAGAAATTTAGAGCTAAGCAGAACACGTGTAGGTTTTGTGCATTCATTTAGATCTCCATTTTTTTCTGTTATGCTGCTTAACATCATCTGGAAACTTTTGAATTGATGGTTTTCAATTTACCACAAGAAATTAAGAGCCTCCTCTTAAATTGATGTGTGGTAGTATTTAGAGCTCTGATTGGAAAATTCCTCAGTGTATGGAATACTCAGAAAAAGTTGACTGTGACTTTTGTCTTTTCAGAGTCTCATCACACTGCAGCCACTAACAGTGGATACTCACGCAAAGAGAATGGTGGGATCTTCTACCACTAAGAGTTTTGCATGGCCATGATGCTGCTTCTGTCCTTCCAGCCTGTGTTTACGTGTACCTGAGTTAAGTCTTCAATGTTTGCTTTCATTTTAGGATCCTTGATTAAACCACCCAGCTTCACTGAATTCTAGTAGCAGCACATCTATACTGTTCCCCAGTACTGTACTTGAGAGGAACAAACTGCTTCTTGCCTATGAGCAAAGTCCAAGTTATCAGGCCTAGTAAATCCAGAGATTTTGGTTAGGAATTGAATCAGTTAATCTGAAATGAAGTCCTAAAAGGATAGCATTCAGAAACTATTACTTTAGGCAGGCAGTGCACTCTCACAATGAAAGATGCAAAGGTTAAACTGCTGTAAAAGCCGTTTCTCTACTAATTCAGGCGGCTAGCTAGTTTCACTATGTTTAAAAAGGACACTGCACATATGGACAGGAATGCCCATCTTTATTACTAGCGAGTCTTGATTACTACTGAGTCTTGGCTACGCAAACAAGTCCAAGAGCTGAACCCTTACAGAATTAAAGCCAATAGTACAGTGGTACCTCGGGTTATGAACTTAATTCGTCCCGGAGGTCCATTCTTAACCCAAAACAGTTCTTAAACTGAGGTGCAGTTTCACTAATGGGGCCTCCTACTGCCGCCCTGCGACTTCCGCTCACATCCTGGGGCAAAGTTCACAACCAGGAGCATGTACTTCCAGGTTAGTGGAGCTCATTACCTGAAGTGTTCGTAAGGAGGATGGTACATAACCAGAAGTTCCACTGTATGTTTAACATTCAAGAAAAAATACACTCAAATGAGAACAGGCCAATTATTTCTCAATTTAGCCTAGCAAGCAGTCTCCCTAAGTATGTCTTCCTCCTCTCGACTCCAAAAGCACATGAAAATACTGACAGGTAGAAGGAATTGTAGATTCCCTTTGTCATTTTGAGAGCTTAAATTTTGAGTCTTAGGGGAGGCCTGCTTTCTGTAATTTTAACCACCAGAGGCCATTTTAATTGTTACTGTATTATCAGCCTCCACATGGTGGCAATAATTTGAGAAGCAGCCCTATGACACGGGCACAGCTTGGGAAACATTGCACGACTCCACAGAAGGAACCACGCAACATGCAAGCATCATGAACTCTTTGAACAGAGCCTGCAAGTGTCCGTTGACAGCACAAGGAAGAGGCTTATGGCACCTTAAGGACTTAACAAACGGCTTTCTTGGACTGCAACCCATCTCACCATCAGTCCATTAGATGGCATGAAGGCGGGGCGGGGGGGGGGAGCATGCCAGAATTAATTGTTCCAAGTTGTTTTCGCACCGCGAATTTCATTAGCATTTATTGGGAAGGCCTTTTCAGGAAAGCCAGCAGCCTTGTGCGAGGGACGGGGATGGAGAGCGGGAGGCGTTGTCGCAGCAAAGGAAGACGCCTGAGGCAGGAACAAAGGAGCGGCTCAGGCGGAGCTGCTGCGGTTGAGCCGGATCAGAATCGCTCCGATACACATTGGCCAGGAGGAGGGGGAAGGGAACCCCCCCCCGCAGCCTCCAGCCTCGTCTATCTGATCAGTTCATCACCTCCGGCTTAAAACGGCCGCCCGCTCGCTTCACCTGCTTCACTGCACAGCGCCCGAGGGCTTCGCAGGGAGAAGGGTTCTTCTCATCTCAGGCCTGGGGAGGCGGCAACATCCCGGCCCGATCAAATAAGATCAACGTGTAAATGAGGGAAAGAGGTGCCGTAGCGCAGGGGCTCCACACGCGCGCCACTCAACCCACGCACACGCCTCACGCAGCGCACGTACCTCCTAGCATCCCCACACATACCTTCCGCGCCCCACCACAGCCACACACCACTCGCCCTACCCCTGGCTACTCTCTGAAGAAGCTCCTCACGCCCCGCCTCCGGCTTTTATACCCCTGCCCCGTTGCATGATGGGAACCGCGCAGATCGCGTTCTCGCGGTCCCTGCTGAGTGCCCCGCCTCTTTCGAGTCACCCTCAACTATCAAGAGAGGGGCGGGGTTTGTGGATTCGCAGACCCTGTTCGCTTATAGGTTTCCCTGTGGAAGTATCCCCAACCCTGGAGATTCCGGGGTGGAAGTGGGGAAGTTTCCTGAAGGAAATCGGAGTGACATTCAGAATTGTGGCGTAATCTGTGGCTGGGCAGCGGCTTGTGTTCCCCCCCAGCCCTCCAAAAAAGCAGTAAAACTTGGAAGCGCTCGTGCTGCTTACAGAATGATTCCCCCATCCCTTCGCCAGCTGCTGTTACCACCGAGAGCAAAATAACTGACCTTTGTGGGAATAAAGTTATGGTAGACAAGCTAGCCAGCTGCAGATTCGCTGCCCTGCATTTTTACTGGAGACTCGGGGGCAAACTTTAGAAATCTTTTTCTTCGTCCATTGCCATGCTACCGAGGAAAGCCATGGTCCGGGTTATCCTTGTATCCAAAACCAGCTTGATTTGTCTCCCATACAACGCACTGTTAGCCAAGAACAAATCTTGGCTTTGGGCCATGGTTTGTCTGGAGCAAGAAAGCCCTGTTTTATTTCCAAGCACACACACTCTCTTGTTCGCTTAGCCATTGTTTCGCTTAGCTGCAAGGACTGGGCTTGCTTTCACTATTACAAGAGATACAAACATAATCAGAACAAAAGTCCCTTTATGCTATATAAAATTGGTTTCCTAGTAAATTCTAATAATAAATGTACTTGTGGCTGAAGTCTCTGTAATAACAGTAAAATATATTAGAAGCTACGGCTGTTTTCATATCCATACCTGCAGAATAGCACTTTCCAATTATCCACAACGGGAAATGGAAAAAGACCCACTGCATAAAGAGCTGAGGGGCTATAAGTGAACACTTAAATGGTATGCAGTGCAATATTTCATTTGCTATAACTAGAGTTACAATTCTAACTATACTCACTCTACTAAATTTAGAAGCCCTGGTTTAGTATTATGAGATATTCCAAAACTCTGAAAAGGTTTTCCTTTTCAGAGTTTTGGAATATCTGCCTCCAGGAACACTAAAACCCTCCAGAACAAATTTTGAGGGCACACAAAGGGCTGTCAAAGGGGCAAAGAAAGGTAGAGACCATTTTGATCGTGCATGGACATCTTTAGGTATAACTCATAGAATTTGGCAGTGCAGTGCTAGCTTTTCAATGGAAGGGCAGATGGAATAACACCAAAATAAAGAACATACAGACGGCCTCCAATGGTGAACCGAGGATGGTTTATTTGCCCAATATATTTCTAGCTTGTTGACTCTCTCAGAGGCAGCTTTTACTCTTGTAAAAGCAAACAAACCAGAATATCAAAAATATGTGCTATCACCATCAGGAATGCACATTTGAGGTCTCTTCTCAATATTCTTGCATTATTTTAGTAAAAAAAAAAAAGTTTAAAAATAATTTTAAGGTAGTACACATTAATTGCCTAACACCCTTTACATACTCACCTTCTCCTGCTAACAATTAGTTTCAGCTTAGGACCTGCCCTTTCAATGTATGCTTATGTGTGAAGTTGACATTCCACTCCATGCAAGAAATCAGGAGTATAAAGTCAAGCAATAAAAGCTTTTCAAGAGTAATAGAATGGCTCACACAATGATCTTGGTCCACTCTCCCAGCCTGAACTACATTGCAGGGTTCTTGTGGAGAACATGCTTGTCATACTGAGCTCACAGAGGAAGGCTAGAATAAAGATTTGATAAAAGAGATACATAGTGATCATACTGATTTTACAAACCACACTATGCAACATGAATGACATGATAGCTTAAGCCACAATACAACTGTTAGTCTTTAAGGTGTTAATTAACACCTTATTTAACTAGATGGAATTCAATATGTTGAGCTATAAAAACCAAGATTTTTTTTTTAAAAAGTACAGACATATTTAGGGATGCTCTCACTGCTGTATCAATTCATGCTCCCTTGAAGTGAACATGTCTTGAATTTCTTGACGATTTTTTTCATGAGTAAAGATTCCAATAAGCTTTCCTGATATATTGGTTGAAAACTGAACAGAAAATACAGGTGCAGCTGAACACTAGAGCACTGTGAAGAAAACAGAAAAACACCATCTATTCCCATTTTTATATAATGTTCTATTTACTTTTTCAGCAGTTCACTAAACACATGCCTACAGTATAATTGTGCACATAACCTTTTCACACAGTGGCAAAGGCTGCCAATTTCCCTTTACCAAGAGATTTGGGGAAGCTTTAACCCTCCAGATGTTGTTGAACTACAACTCTAATTATCCCTAGCCATTGCCCATGTTTGCTGGGTTTGATGGGAGTTGCAGTTCAGCCAGGTGTGCCAACACCTAGGGGTGGAGGGGATCTTCACCCCCCTCAATATTTGCTGGCAACTTCCTTTGATGTTGGGAAGTTGGAAGAAGCCGACTGCAACACTGTTCAATGGCTAGCTCCTCCTGAGTGCAAGGGAGGAAGTCATGCCGCTCTGGGCTCCCCCTCAGCCTCCTCCCAACAATGTGACGTCACACACATACATTGTGCATCTGACATCACACACGCATGACACATCAGGCACAAGATGGCACCTCCAAGTTCATTAACATCTGGAGGACCAAATAATTCCAACACCTGCCTTACAGATTCTGCACCTCTTTAAGCAGGCTTACTGGATAGGTGGCTCTTCAATTTATATTTCCCTTTCTTGCATTTTTATGCAAGGAAAATCAGAATCAAAGCAGTATGCTAGGAAAACTATTTTTCCTGTAACTGTAACTGCTTGGAAACACACACAATATTGACAACTCAACAGCATTTTCTGTTAGCAGACCAAAATGATTTTGTACATAGCATGGCTTTGTTCATAAAGTATCACACTTTGTTACTAGGGATAAATTTTGCAAGAGTACCAAAACGTTACATTTTCTTAAGTGCACCAAACAGATCTATTTCAGTTATGCTTTCATCCTTATAAAAACACTTGCAAAACCACAACCCATGGCATCATGACTCCTTTGGCATGGTTTCTCTCAAGTTGGACACACGAAATATATTGGGAAACGTAAATTCTAATGTAATATTAAACTACATTTTTTTTACATGTCATAAATTATTATATAGCACCATTAGTATAAAAATACTGTGTTTTCTAAAAGCCTGACAAGCTGAATGTTGTGTTCAATTCCTACACTTCATGTCCTCTCAGAAGAATAGGAGCAAAGGAAGACAGGATATTTCAGATTTGTCCCTGGCACATTTATGGAACACTCCCAGCAACAGCAGTCTTTGCTTCTTAGTTAGATTTTTGGTTGGTGTTGCGATTTACACATCCCCAGAACATGTACGTATTAACTAAACTTGTTATTATGGGTTCTCAATCTCTTGTAAAGTTACTTACATTCCTTGGGAAAAACAGAACTAGAAAGCAAATTATCATCTTTACAAGGATTTAAGGCCCAAATCTTTCCCCCAGTCACTAGATAAATATAGGTATTTGGTTTACATAGCAGAAATCAGAATACTGATTAGCAGGCAAAGAAAAAACTTGCCTTATTTGCAGCACTGCATCCTAAACTGCAGCAGAAATGTTTGGATAATAGTACTGTTTTATCAATTGGTAGATACAATTGATACGCGGGTGGCACTGTGGTCTAAACCACTGAGCCTCTTGGGCTTGCTGATCAGAAGGTCAGCGGTTCGAATCCCCGCAACGGGGTGAGCTCCTGTTGCTCGGTCCCAGCTCCTGCCAACCTAGCAGTTCGAAAGCATGCCATAAGCGCAAGTAGATAAATAGGTACTGCTCCGGCGGAAAGGTAAACAGCGTTTCCGTGTGCTGCTCTGGTTTCGGTGTTCCGTTGCGCAGAAGCAGCTTAGTCATGTTGGCCACATGACCTGGAAAAACTGTCTGCAGACAAATGCCAGCTCCCTCAGCCTGTAAAGCGAGATGAGCGCCGCAACCCCAGAGTCGTCTGCGACTGGACTTAACTGTCAGGGGTCCTTTACCTTTTTTAGATACAATTTTATTTGTTCTGTATTGCATTGAGTCTGCTTTTATACTTATTTTGAAGTTGAAAACATATTAATTTTAGTATCAGAAAACCACTCTCAAATCAAATACCACTCTAAACAGGAATTGAACATTATGTGAGCACTAAACTAGGTTTTTGCTTTCTCAGTTCCCTGGAACATGCAGCTGGTAGAATTCATTCATATTCCTTCAGTTCCCACCCATGAAAATAAGAAATAAAATGTCAAGAGGCTATTAGATACAAAGTATGGGGAAGAAAAATAAGGCAGGTTTATTCACACACATACTTCTGAAATACCCAAAGGCCCAGTTAGGGCTCCAGTGTACTTCTTGCCAATTTATAAAAATGCGGTAAGAGACAGTTCCTGTCTGTGATGACATACAAACTTGCCTTTTCAGTTTTATACAAACTATGGATTAAAAAAAATAAATGCCCCAGTCCTGAAGTTACTTGTGAATTTCTGTCCATCAATTGTTTTCAACATTGAAAACTTAAAACATGCACTTTTACTGCTTCTACTATAGCTGCTTCTACTCTAGATGATGACCTCCTATAATGTAAGGACAAGGTTAAAGGGAGGACAATTCAAATAAGGAAAGTGAAGAAGAAAAAGAACATAAAAGGGTATCATTAAAAAAAGGAAGCAAACACAAATCTTTCACCTTTAAAGTCTATACACTTTCCAAAATATACAAGTTACGATCTTTAAATGTAATTTAAACATTTTAACATCTATTAACTTATGTAACAGCATATGTCCCCATTGCTTTCTCCTACAAAGCAACATCCAAAAACTGGGTATGTTTGAATTGTTGTCAATTGTTAATTGTGTGCTACAGAACTTGCAGCATTTCAGCCATTCTTGGCTGTTTGCAAGAGGTGGTAAGGCTGTTAATTACGGTATGCCAAGGTGGTGCGAATATATCACCAAACAGCATTTTATTTCCTTTGTGATTCAGATTGTTTTTTCCTTCAAGGGTAAAAAGTGCATAAACACTTCTTTGAACTGTGCAAAGATTTTACTCTATTACTAGCTAGTTTACCATATCCAGTTACTAATTTTTATGATAGCTTTATCCCCAATCTTAAAAGTGCATTAATAAAAGAAAAAAAGCCAATGAAAGCAAAATCCACACCTGTACTTTGCTGTTCATTATTACATTTTTGGGATTTAGAGCAATTCCCTTTAAAACACCAGGAATGCAAATCCTTCCCCCCTCTATACTGTGCCAGACTCTGGAAACATAATTATTCACTTCCATTTGCCACAAACTTTTGATGGTTTTCCTTGTGCAGATTGTAATATTGATTTTAAGAATCTGCACATAAAACAATCTTTGTTGATCATTTTCAAGCTTACTAGAAGCACAGAGGATGGTTGCTGTTATAAAAGCCACTCCCTTGGTCTCAAAAAAGGCTTGGTCATAGAAGAATTTCCCCTTGACATCTGTGCAGGGTTCTGTGTCAGTTCCTCTAAGAGATATTTTGTCCTCTGAAGCAAAAGAGATATGCCTTCTTTAGCATCTTCATTCAAACAACACTGTCCATCTGAAGTGCTGAGATTCATTTTATAAAGAGGACATAAAAAGCCATTACAATGCAGGATATTGCCACTGCTGCATGGAGTCTAGTACCAATCACTGCCGCTGGAAAACAAAAGAGACATTTACACATTTACAAGTTGTAACAGTATAGAGCACACATTACCTCTTCGAATTTTTGTGAGAATTAAGCATAAGCACTAGATCGTCTTTATTACCACATAAACTAAAGCAAGGGCATCAAACTCAACTATGCTGGAAATCCAAATTCCCCACCAAGTAATTGCCTAGTGACAATATTAGTAATGGTTAATGGGGGTGGGGAGAGATGCAAATTCTGTCTGAACTGAACAGTAAGAAGTTCTACCTCACTGAGTACCGTACTTGTTGCTTACCACTTACTAAGTTCTGTTCTACTGAAGTTAGTATTTTTCTTACAGCAGCCTTAACAATTTTGTTTGCTCTTAAGCAATTAAAAGAATGAAGCTGAGAACCAAGATTTATTATGCACTTGCCCTGTTGTAACCTAGAGATCCTATGAACAAGAGGTTCCCCACGTCCCTCAAAAAACCAGCTATCAAAACTCACCAAAGAACCAATCATCAAACCCCCACTCTCTGAAGCAACCGATCACATAAACAAGCCTGTTGTGATGCATCCCAACTCACAATGCAGACGCTTCCTAAGCTTAACTCCATTCTACCAACTGTCAGGAACATTTCCTTGAAGGTTTGTTTGTTCGTTTAACATTTTATGGCATGAAATAGGCAAAGAAGTTCCTCCTCTCCTGGCAGTTTGTGAAGGCTGCCCAGACTTGTTCCCACCCATTTCGCCTTCCCTCCCGGTTGACCCCTGGGGTTGAGAGCGAGAGGCTTACCTTTGTAGAATACCCCCCAGACGCCCCTCTTCTCCGAGAGCAGCCAGACTTTCAGCCGAGGCACCTTCCGGAAGTAGGCGCAGGTGCACACGAAGAGCAACCCGAACACCAGCAGCCCGTCCAGCGAATACACTGCAAGGGAAGAGAGACAGAGAGGCCGCCTTGAGTCAGGGCCTCCCGACTCTTAAGGGTGGCGGGCAGCGGGGGGGGGGCGTCTAGCGAAGAAGCCCCCAGGCCAGCCTCTGGCCTTCGCCCCGAGGGCGCCACCCCGCTCTGGAAGGTGGGGGTGGCAGTTAGTCAGGGAGGAGGAACGAGGCGCAGGGTCGCTTTGCGGGGCAGCCCCCGCCCGCTGAGGCAAACCCCCACCCCCCACCCCCGTCTCACCGTTAGCCATGACGGAAACCCGCAAGGCCCAGACCAGGTCTCGTCACCGCATCGCCCAGAATGAACGAACGGCCAGCGCGGCACCGGAACTTCCAGTGCCGCCAATAGAGCTCCGGCGATGGAGCTCTCTCTATGGTTCGCCTCTTCCTAGAAAGGTGGGTGCGCGTGTCGCGGCGCCAAGGCAGCACTAGCAGAAGGACGGCTGGTCGATTTGTTTCGAGAGCGCCGTGGCTTGTCAGCGGCGGGTCTCGCGACCGGATTTCCTGCTGTCTTTTGTTTTCGTGCTGTCTTTTGTTTGAAAAAAAGGGCAGAAATCCGGGACTGTGTTGTTGAAGGGCTGTTTGGCAGCCACACGTCGTCGTCGTCGTCGTCGTCGTCGTCGTCTTCTTCTTCTTCTTCTTCTTCTTCTTCTTCTTCTTCTTCTTCTTCTTCTTCTTCAGGGGGGGTAGTATTTTAAACTCGATTTTCTTGTGGGATGCGAACATGTGAATGGGGCGGACTCACCTTTCTTCTAGCTTTTTTTTCTTAATCGCCCTGCAGATGATTCTGTACTAGCAGAAAAATAAACTGCTCAATACTGTTATAATTTTCTTATAGCTAATGCGGGGAGCGACGCTTACAACAACCCTGCCATGCAGTCCAGTGGTAAAGGTAAAGGGACCCCTGACCATTGGGTCCAGTCGTGGCCGACTCTGGGGTTGCAGTGCTCATCTTGCTTTATCGGCCGAGGGAGCCGGCATACAGCTTCCGGGTCATGTGGCCAGCATGACTAAGCCGCTTCTGGTGAACCAGAGAAGCACGGAAACGCCGTTTACCTTACCGCCTGGAGTGGTACCTATTTATCTACTTGCACTTTGATGTGCTTTAGAACTGCTAGGTTGGCAGGAGCAGGGACCGAGCAACGGGAGCTCACTCCATTGCGGGGATTCGAACCGCCAACCTTCTGATCAGCAAGCCCTAGGCTCTGTGGTTTAGACCACAGTGCCACCCACATCATAGACGTCATAGACCAGCATAAAAGGGTGGGATACTTAAAAAATATAAAACCACTTAATTAAAAAAATTAAGCAGTGTGTCAGAATAATAAAAAGTAATTACTAATAAAAAACATAAAATCAGGACACACACACAATAATGTCTGGGTAGGCTTGCTGGAATATAAACATTTTCAGCAGGTGTCTAAAGCAGTATAGTGTGTCAGCTTAAATATCAATGGGTAGGGAGTTCCAAAGATTCAGAGCAATCTCAACCATCCAGTCAGCCCCATTCCCCAAATCCACTGCTTACTTGTATGAAGATACAGTGCATTCTTACCATTCTAAAAGAGGTCAATAGGGATCCACATCATTCCAAAATTGACTGATTTTTTTAATGATGTTTTTAACTAGGTAAGGCTGCTTTCTTATCTTCATGGGGTAGCGTAAAGGGCTCAGAGCATGTGAAACCTTTTCCACATAGAAGTTCTATGGATAGGGCAAATACTAGTGGGAGAAAGAAGAGAAGGGATAATGGACACAATAGAAATTATGCTTTCACTAGAGGGATGGGTACCGGTAATTGTGCATCTCCAATTTAAGCCATCTGGCCAAAACAGAAGGCTCATCTGGTAGGGAAATGGTAAGCAGACACCTCCCCCCTGCCCCCTCCCCCGCCATACAACACTAAAAATAGTGCTGTAGCAGTAGCATTCTAATCTCTAGTCACACTGCTATGCTACCACATGCACAAAACTACTAATGGAGTGCCCAGTCTTATCAATGAGAACTCAGAAGGAAGTCCCGTTGTGAATAAGGTTACAGCCTTACTGTGACTTTTGAGTGGGTGTGTATAGGATTGTGCTATAAAATAAAAGATGTGTCTTATACAAGCTGCTTCCCCATCCTCCCTTTATTGAGAATATTATTTGTTGAAAAGAAACTGGAGGCAGTTCCAGAATTCCAAAGATTCTGGATTCATTTAGGAATCACAATTTTTCATACACTGGTACAGAATCACAAAATGGAGTGTAACAGAATGTAATCTTCATAAATTGCATGAACAAAAAATTCCTGTACTGGGGTCACGTCCGTAGTGAGTTAATTGGCTGCCACTGTATGGGGGCAGCAGATGGGCATTGGCAGCAGCACTGGTGAAGCTTCTAGAGATGCTATGGGCATGTCTGCCATGTTCCCACCAATTTGGTATTTTCTACCCGTGTGTGCACCCCTTTCTCAGCTGAGCTATAGTAGTAATAGCAAATCATCAGACCCAGCAATGTAATAGGTGTTTAGGATTGCTCTGTTAAGATGTTAGCCCAAACAACTTTATCTGATTTGTAATAATCTAAAGGGTGCATAATTCAATATCCATTTTCTGCTGAACCTTGTTGATACCCCAGGAAATGTTTCAGCGTTCCAGACTTGGAAAATGACATCCTCTGCTTAATCAGCCAAAGGTTCTTAAAGGAACGTGTCACATGACACCTGTCCCCCCCCTTTTTTTTCTCACATCCAACAACACACCCAGGGATTAGTCTAAGGGCTTTAATAGGTTTTGTGAAGAGCCTGCTAAAAGAAGCAGGGCCCATCCACAATCACATTACCGTCTCCGCTGCCAAGAAAATCAACAGGAGGACTTGGTTCACAGGTGTTTTTCTAGAAGAAAGTGAAGCCCAGTGCTAAACTGTTCTGGCACAGTAAGTACTTCAGAGACAACGTTCCACAGCTTTAAAGGAAAGGAAAGTGAGGAGGGAAAAGCTTCCTCCAGTCAGAGCCATGGGGGCCTCCCAGTCAAAACGGGTGAGTAGCTTTCTTGTTGATGGTCCGATAAAGGGGATGAAGCCTGTGTCTGTCATATCCCTGACATCATGACGAGATCTTTTTGATCAGTCGGTCACATTCTGTTGCGTATACAGTCTTTGAACTAAGTCTACATGACAACAGAAGCATGGCAATACGGCAATCTATAAAGCAATCTCTCGAGAGGCAGAGGTGTTTCTGATGGCTGACAACTGTGGAATATTCATCTGCTGGGGGCTCTTGGAAGCTTAACCCTGAGCTTTTCTTAGAAATACTATATGACCTTTTTATTTGGGCTTAATCGTTTCATCTTGACTGCTTCTAAACTGATGAGTGGATGGGCTTTGTGTAGTCTGAATGAATAATTAACTAAATATAATAATTTAAATCTGAAATGAACAATATACTGTAAATTAGACCAAGTCATTTTGCTTCCTGAAGTGAAGGACAAGATGCCATCCCCTCTATTCCATGAACAGCAGCCACCCAGCTTGGCCACTGAATCTTCCTTGATTACTGGGGATGGAACAGGCACCGTATGGAGTACAGGGCAGTCTGTACTCCCTATAGCTGCACCATTTCACTATTCGAGCTTCATTAGGGGCTAAGTACTCCCCCCACTGGTGTCCTACAGTGTGAGAGCAAATATTTTTTTTAAAAAAAAATGTGAGCACCAACAAGGCTGCTTCTGCCTCAGAAGCAATTTCTCTTTATATTTCCTCTCCTCCTCTGTCTCCTGTATTTCCCTCTCATGAGTGCCGCCCCCCATAGTCGCCTTTGACTGGACTTAACCGTCCAGGGGTCCTTTACCTTTACCCTCCTCTAGCACTGAACCACACATTTCTCTTACATTTACTGAAAAGCCAAGATAGGGAATAAACATATTGTTCAATTGTTATGCTACTCACAGAAAGACTAAACCCTCCATTACATCTGGACTATGTAGAGGATGTGGCATCTCACACACTAGAAAACGGTGCTGTCATATTTCTCAGAAGTGCAAAAGATGGGAACTGTTGTTCACCCACAGTGCAGATGGACATAGTGTCATACAAATGCTTTGTGTTAATCCTCTGGTGACAGTGACCTCTCTTCAACACAGGGCTGTTATGGTGCAAAAAGTAATTGTGTCAGACCTGTCCTGTTACATACAGGTGAAGGAAACAGTTCTTGCCCCCGCAAAACAACCTCCTGCAGGGATAAACTGCTAGATTATACTTAATCCTGCTTCTATGTCTAGTCATCATTTTCACTCTTACGTTGATCCACTGAACCTATCCCCTTTCCTCTCCACAGCCACCTAACCAAAATCCTAATTGAAAGGTAGATCTGCCAGAAAGGCTACTTTTAGAGATGGTTTGTTCACACTTCAGCTGAAGAAAGATGAAACTTTGTCTGTCTTAGGGACAGACAAGCTGTCGCTTAATTTGGTAGTAAGTTTCCTGTAACTCCATGAATTCTCCACCATCCATATGACGATCTCCATATCACTGCCTTCCCACACGTTCCCCTCCCTCAACCTGGATTTGCTCATAGGAATGCTCTGAAAAGGAGAGGGTATGAAAAAATCCAGATCAAGGGAGGGGAAAGTGTGGGAAGGAAAACGTCATATGGACAATGGAGAATTAATGAGGGCACATTATCCACATAAAACAACAGTATGGATGAGCTTTTAATCGGCGCAGAGCAAAGCAACACTAATCAACATTTCAAATCTAATAAAGGGGGAGAGATTGGGTCTAAAGGCAGAAGGAATACTGATGAAGATGCATTTATGTTCCTGAACTTCATAGGCATGGAGATGATGGTTTTGAGGACAACTTTAAAGCAGCTGAGCTAGTTTTCCAGGGAAAGAGCCACATCAGGTGAAGGGGAGCAGCACATGCCATTCTTTAAGCATAACTGCTGAAACTTGGCATCTAAGAAATCCTTAACAGGAACGTTTGTCTTTTCCCCGAATGATGTATTCAATCTGTTGCTGCTGCAGTACATTCCTCTAGCAAATGTGTTGTTTGTCTTTGGAGATTTAAACCTGTAAGGATCAGGCAGGGCCAACTCTATGATTATGTGGAGGGAAGCAGCTGTCTCAGGTAGTGAATGCAGCTGCCCCACCCCCATTGCTCCTGAACCTCCCCCCAGCCATTTCTCCCATCCTCCTGAACTGACACCCCCGCTGTGGCCAGCAGTCTCACCTAGTGATCTCCCAGTGCATATCCTTGACCTAGCAAGCAGGAAGAGAGGCAGCCAGCCCAGGCTACACACCCCAGAAGGCACTATGTATGTGAATGTATTTCTTGGCACACATGACTGATGCTGAGGCATCCTTTGTCTGAGCAGGCAGCAAATGGGTACCAGGCAGGGCAGTGACTGAACAGGCAGCAGAAGGTTTTGGAGGACAGAGCATGCTCTGAGCTAGTCTGTTGCCCTCAGTTTCAATGGTGGAGACTGCCTCACCACAAGTGTTGAAGTAAGATTTGACTGCCTGTCTGGTCAGCTTCTCTATGGTGGAATATGTGGTGGGGAGATTGTTTGTGTTATCATATCCGTTGCCTCAGGCAGCAAAATGTATTGGACAGGCCCTGGATATGTGCTAGGGATGTTCTGCTTTGCCCGCAGCTCCATATGATTAGGATGTAGAATAAATAGATGTTGGTTTTGTCTAACCTGCTGAAAGTCTATGTGCAGGTACATTAACAGAAGTACTCATTTGCTCCTCTGTAAGACCATGCAGGGGGAAAGTAATGAGGATGCTTGGGCAGAAGCTCAGAACGCTCTTGTATAATGCCCCCCCCCCATGTGTTGTTAGTCTCTTCTCAGTGTCCATTAAATGTCTGGGAGTAGGCAGGGTAGGCCTGCTGGCATCTATGCCATTATAATAGTCTTGCATTGTTTACTTTGGATGAGGCGGCCACAAACCTGAGCCTGACAGATGACAGGCTAATCAGCAGTGGCTTAAAAGGGAAATCTCATCGGAGATGGAAAACCTAATCTTTCAAAGCTGCACAGATAGACCAAGGGATCCAGAATAGCTTCATCAGGTTGAGATGATCCTGTGTGAATGATCAGGGCAAAAAGAAGAGTTGGGCAAATTAATGTCATGTGGAAAGTAACATGGGGTTAGGAAAATGCACAGGCATCAGGTGTAAGGCAGCCTATTAGCACTGTGGATGGTGGAAAAGCTTGATTTGCAAAGGAAGGAAGGTCTGTGGGCAGCAGCTGGGTATTCCAGAGCCAGATGCGAACTGTAGTATCTGGACTCCTTTCCTATAGAACAGTGTTTCCCAACCTTTTTTGGGCAAAGGCACACTTGTTTCATGAAAAAAATCTCGAGGCACACCACCATTACAGCCCCGTGACGTCAGCGCACAGCGTCACGCCGGGAGGGACATGAATTGCTAGCAAATTACATAATCACCTCCTTGAGGGCTGGCTCATCTTCTCCGAAGGCAGAACCCCATTAATTAACAGCACAGACTCACACCATAGCCAAGACGAGGGGGGAAAACCTCAGTCATGCACAGTCATGCACATGTGGGGGCTAAATGAGGACGAAGACCGGGCAGAGAGCAGGGTTCAAATCACCCCACCTGGCCAGGACAATCCCTGGGTGCTCCCTTGGGCCACTCGCCTGACCCACCTCGCAGGGCTGTTGTTGCGAGGATAACACGGGGAGAACCACGCGCGCCCCCGGGAGCTCCTTGGAGAAGAAAGCGGGCGATGAATGCAATGCACGAAATATATGAGAGGCGACCAGGTTTTGCAGGTGAGGGGCCCCCGCCAGCCTCCGCTTCCAACACCCGGCGCAAAGATGCCGAAGTTTTCCCCCGGGCTCAGCTCGGGGAGCAGCGCTGCTCCCCCCCGGCTCCCCTTCGCCCTCCCGGCTCTCTCTGCTGCCCACTGGGGACCCCCTTCACCTGCCAAGTCCGGAGCGCCGGTGGAAGTTGCATGCATGCATGCAGGGCGCCGCGTTGCCATTGCATTGCACTGCACTCCATGCAACGCCTGCACGCATGCATTGCCTTGCACGCCCGCCAAGGGGTCTCCCCGCGGTCCGATGCGTCCCCTCCGGCGCGGATGTAGCATTGCAAAAATAAAAAAACCCCGATGCAGCCCTACCTGGGGGGCAGCCTCTGCCTCCGCCGCTCCGCCTCCGCGGGGATCCCCGGGCTCCATCCTGCCGCCCGATCTCCGGGGGGCGCAGGCAGGCTGCGCGGAGTCTGCGCGGAAGAGCCCCTGCCCACCCGGCCGCCGCCGCTGCGCTCATTCCATGGCCGGGAGAAGAGCGCTTCAAACAAAACGCCCGGCCCGCCAGGCCACGCTGGGAAACGTAGTTCGCGCACCCCGCGCGGGCGCGGAGCCCAAGGGCGAGGGGACTACGGATCCCGCCAGCCCCCGCGCCGGGGACGGAGGGGGAGAGGCCGGGTGCAGGGATGGAGGGACGGGTGGGCGGGCGAGTGAGTGAGTGGCAGCCGCCAAGCCTTGGCCGAGAGCCAGGAAGGGCCTCCCCGGAGGAGGAGGAGGAGGAGGAGGAGGAGGGAGGCGCAGAGCGGGAGGGAGGGAACCCCAGGGGTCATCTAGTGACGGCGCCCCAATCGAAAATTTGACTTTTTTTAAAAAAAAAATCTTTCAATTTTTTAATTTTTCCCGCGGCACACCAGGCAACATCTCGCGGCACACTAGTGTGCCGCGGAACAGTGGTTGGGAAACACTGCTATAGAAGGCAGGCAGGTGATTATGAGGGTTATTCTAATGATTTTGGGTTCAGCTAGAGGGTATGTTATAGTGACTGGCCCAAATATGGTCTGCATTTTATTCTGTCTGGCTCCTTTCACCTGCTAATTTCACAGCACTTTAGTAACATTGGCAAAGAGCTTTATTTTTTCACAGAGACCTTGGTATAAAACCTTCATGCATTAGCCAGTGAAAGAGCTGGAGATCTAGCACCAGGCACTGGAGTGTTTCAGCTGTTCGCCTCCACTTGTATATTTGTAAACAAACTGCAATATTATAAAATGTCATAAGCCTCCCATGATCTCCTTTCAAAGGAAACCAAACCAGGGTGAGCACTATACCCCTGGGACGCAAGTGTGGTAAAAGAAGAAGTGCAAGCATTTGTTGATCCATTGCTTTTTGAAATGCTGCCTTTTCTGTTCCAGGGTGAATACAGAACTCAGAAGAGCAGTCTGAACCCAGGTAAGAGTCTTTTACAGCATGGTGGGGGTACCCTCTTCAATCCAAGGGCTACCTTCTCTTATGCGGGGAGTGCTTGCCAGTGGTGGGTGTGGCCAAAGATAAAAGTGGGCAGTGCAGTGCATGTGGCGTTTACCTTTATACATGGGTGGGGGCCAGCTGTCTGTCCTACAGTCCTAAGCAAAAAGCAGGGGAAGTGGTTATAAATATGGGGAGAAACTATGCAAGCATTTCGACCTGGGGGGTGGAAAAATGGGAGTTGTGTTCCTCTTACTCACTGAATGTATTAATTGGCCATAGCAGCAAAAGTCTGTTGTATGATGCATAGGATGCCATCTATTCATCCTGTGACTATTGGAACTTGCTCCAAGTACTCTTTTGGGGTCTAAAGGGTTTTTGCATATGATCAAAATAAGTGTGCCCCTTTATTTAGGTTCTTGTTGTTGAAAGCTCTGTGCTGGGGGGGGGGGTGTAAAGTGCCTTGTTAGAGGTAGGGAATGCTGGATGATTCTCTTCCAGGTCCTTGCCAGTATTGCATGTGTTCATTCCATTCTGTCCAGCTTTTCCATCACCTTGTGAAACTTTTTTTAAACCCACATAAAATTTCCTATTTTAAATGTCATTCACATGATCATTTTTTAATGGAGTTATAAACAGTTTATCAAGGTTTTCATGGTTAAATAATGGTATAAATGTGCTCCGGAGTGGTGAAAAAAGAGGTAGCAACCATAGATTTCAGGTACTGAAATGTTCAGTGGTGGAATTTGTGGTTTCGCCACATGGGGGTGCATTTGTATAATAATAATCTGTGTGGAAGACTTAACAAAACAGAAGTCTTGATGGACCATCTGTGACTGACCTGATGTGTCATTTGCATTACAATGCCAACCCTGTCTAAAAGGATCTCAGAAATGGAAGTGCATTCAAGCCCACACTTCAACTGCATGTGAATTGCCTTGTTCTCAACCAAGTCATTCAGTAAGCCCCAAGTATTGAGGAAGATCTACACCATGGGTAGGCAAACTAAGGCCCACAGGCCGAATCCAGCCCAATCGCCTTCTCAATCCGGCCCGCAGACGGTCCGGGAATCAGCATGTTTTTACATGAGTAGAATGTGTCCTTTTATTTAAAATGCATCTCTGGGTTATGTGTGGGACATAGGAATTCGTTCATTTTTCCCCCTTCAAAATAATAGCCTGGCCCACCACATGGTCTGAGGGACGGTGGACCAGCCCATGGCTGAAAAAGGTTGCTGACCCCTGATCTACACTATGATATGCCTATCCTAGCCATTTCATTAACATTTAGAGATCTTTCCACAGCTGACTACTGGAATAGTTAGGGGACAACATGGTTTAAGAAAACAGCAACGGGAAGACCAACCTAGCCCCACCCATGGACCAGAGAGGGAGCAGCTTCAGGGAGTTATGATGCTGGGGGTCAGACTCCCCCATCTTTAGTGGGTAAGGCCAGGGATTCAGAGGGGAAGAGAGAATGACTCTCTGTGGGGAGAGTGCTGTTGACATTAGGTCCCACTTTACACCAGTCTGGAACCCTTAAAGAAGAGCAGGTTAAAAATACTTTCAACAAATTGATGCTGAACAGCTTTATAGCCAATTTACAGTATGAAAGCAGAGAGGAAAATTTGTAATGAATTTTCTAAAGGCTTCAAAACTGTTGCCATGCCATTATGTTCCAGAAGGAGACACCAGAAGCTTTGAGCATGGCACCTACCAGGCATCTGAAAGCCACAGGAGCCTCATTGAGCCCAAGAAACTGCCAAACCCAGTGAGGGAGTCCAAGCACCATCGGGAGTTGCACCGGGAACTGATTTTCACTCAAAGGAGGTAAGAGTGTCTTTAATCCAGGAATTGCAGTAGTTTAGGCACTAAAGCTTTGAACAGAGAACATACCATGCATTGGCCCCTGAGGTGTACCACAAAATGGTGCCTCCCTGGCCAGGGAAGAAAAGTTGAGTGAAGATCTGCATTGGGAACAAGGCAGGGAATCAAATCAATCTTACATGACTGTTGGCGTGAGAATCCAAGGCTGCCAGAGGGCAGGGGCTGCTCTGAATCATACCAGGGTGGTGCAGAACCCAGGAGATGCCAGAGGGTTGTAATATGTCCTCTTTTTCCAGGACGCATCGTCTTTTTCATGGGTAGAGTCATCATAGCGATCCATAGTTATAAGTAAAGGTAAAGGGACCCCTGACCGTTAGGTCCAGTCGCGGACGACTCTTGAGGTTGCGCACTCATCTCGCTCTATAGGCTGAGGGAGCCGACGTTTGTCCACAGACAGCATCCAGGTCATGTGGCCAGCATGACTAAGCCACTTCTGGCGAACCAGAGCAGCGCACGGAAACACCGTTTACCTTCCCGCCAGAGCAGTACCTATTTATCTACTTGCACTTGACATGCTTTCAAACTGCTAGGTTGGCAGGAGCTGGGACCGAACAACAGGAGCTCACCCCGTTGCGGGGATTCAAACTGCCGACCTTCCGATCAGCAAGCCCTGATCGGTTTAGTTTAGACCACAGTGCCACCCACGTCCCTATAAGTAGAAGTCTGCAAATGTGTCCTCTTTTTTGCTCTTCAAAATATGGCAACCCTAAGAGGACAGCCCCCGCCATTTCCTCCCTAGCGGTGGATGGAGACCAGTAATGCCTCCTACTTGCAAAGAGGCGGCATTGGGAAGGGGCTGCTGAGGAGGAGGCAGATCTAGCCTCCAAGGAGCATGCCATAGCCATCGCTGCTACTGCAGCAGCAGGAGCAGCAGCAAGTGATGTATTCCTTGGAGGCCCAATTGGCTGTCCTTCTGGATCCTGCTGCCCAAGGTGGTGGCCGCACCTTGTCTCATGAGTGGCCAGCCCTGTGTTTAAAGCACATTTAAGGCATGTGACTGCCCCCAAAGAATCCTGGGAGCTGTAGTTTAAGAGTGCTGGGAGGTGTAGCTCTGTGATGGATAAACTACAGCTCCTATTATTCTTTTGGAGGGGGTGCTGCAAAATAGGGGAAAGGATCCTTCAGGGATCCACAAATCAAGACACAAAACACCAAGTGTAAATAAAATAAGTAGCACAATCTCTGTTGGGTGTGGGCCCATGGGATCTCTCTCAAAAGCACCTAAATCTAGCGTCCAGTATGGCAACTCGGGTGTCCACTGAGCCAAATAAGAAAGGGATTTTTGCCCAATACACAGGAGAGAAACCACATCGGGACTCCCAATCGACTTGACTGGGCACTGGAGGAGGAGGGATTGGAAAATAACAGTCCAATTCTTACGGAGCCCATATTTAGTTCTTCATAGGTCTTATAACTTAAGCATGTGCCCAAATATAATACAGTTAACTTATTTTGTCAGGAGAACCCTGGGTTATCATGGAATCTGGTGAAAGTCAATGGGATGAAGGAGGGGGGAGTAGAATTGTAGAAGAGAAGAAAGGCTCATCAACGTCTGCTTCTGTGCTGTGTTGTCCTTTCTGTAGGGGGATCCTTCCAGAACACAAACCCGAGCTTCAGAGAGTTCTAGAAGCCAGAAGAATCAAGCAGCTGAAGCAGCAGGAAGAAACCCAAAAGCCCTTGACAGATCTGGAAGAAGAGCTGAGAAAACGACAGCAGAAGCTTGACCAGGTCTTTATCATCTGTTCCCCAGTTAGCTTTTCTGGATGTATCACAACATCAAGTTTGTCTTATAACCACCTCCATCCTACGGTGATCAGTCCATATTATTAATCCCTCTCACACACCCAGCTCATCAAGGCTTATTTGTCTTCCTAGCAAAAACAGCATCTAATCACAAAGAATCCATTTTACCCCCACAGAGCTACAATTCCCAGCACCCTTGTACTACAGTTCCCAGGATTATTAGAGGGTGTAGTATCTACATCGTATAGTACCCTTCTCCCTTGTGGCAGCCTTCCCCTCAGGTGTGACCAGCATCTCCTCTCTCAGTTCCTTCTCCATCGTTCATCTTCAGAAATAAAGATAGTCAGTTCTCCTTCCAGGCCCAAACACACACACAGTTTTGATATTACGCAGACCCTGTCCTCCAAGCACCTCTTCCCTTCTGGTAAGCAGATATTGCTGTGTTTTTACTGTTTCAAAAACATACCAAATCAGTTTTAATCAGAAGTGACAATGGGACACAAAGGTGGAGAGCAAGTATAGTACCCACTAAGGAAGAAAGGCAGTGTAAAACGTTCAAATATGCTGAACTGGCTGGTCTGACAAACAGGATAAGAAAAAACGAAGATAAGGAATACAAGGAGGAATGGACAATGTTTACTGAATATTTTAAGAACCAATATAAGCAAAAACATAGCTTAGCAGGTCTCGAGTAAATCCAGCAGAGTTGAAATATAGCATTTAATAGGTAACAAATTGGATGATTAAAAAGTTGCGGATTAAGCGGAGTAGTAGAAAAGCAAAGGAACCAGGAAAAGGGTGGAAGGGAAGTCATATGATTGATTTTATGTGTGTGTGTGTGTGTGTGTGTGTGTGTGTGTTGTAAGTGGGACAAGGGGAGGGGAGGGAGTTAAATCTGCTGTTTTTGAAAATGCAATTTTTTTAAAAAAAAAGAAGTGACAATGGGACAAAAGCAGTGTGTGTGTGTGTGTGTGTGTGTGTGTGTGTGTGTGTGTAAACCATGGGCAGCAATGCCTCCCTCAAGCATTTTCAGTCCTATCAAAATTGTTGCTAAAGCCAATGTCAATGAAGCTCAGGAGTGAGTGTACGACTTTCATTTAATCAAACAGTAGGGGCATTGGGTTTTGCAATAGGTTGCAGCCTCATGTTTGTGCAGAATTGTCTCTCTGGCTAGAACTAATGAAAAGATGTTGAACATTTCCCCTCCTTTACAGTATGAAAGGGAGCTGGTCTTGAAGGGCGAGCAAGATGGCCGGCCTGAGTTCATCCTCGTCAAAGAGAGCCTGAGGAAGATAAAGCTGTCTACAGAAACGGACATCAGGCAGACATGAGAGCCAGGTGACTGCAAGTGCAGTTTCTATCCGAATGGCTCCTTGATGGAAGATCACACGGAGGAATCCTAGGATGCACCACAGCCTCTCCTTGCTGGCCTGCAGAGCCCCTGCTCAGGTTAACCTCAGGCACTGGGCAGCAGGAGAAAGTCGGAAGCAAGGACTAGCCTCGTGGTGGCTTTGGGTGGAGGCTGGCTGTCATTCAGCCATGACAGTTAAGGAAACATGGAGACGAAAGGGCAGATTGGAATCTGCAGTGGAGGCGGTGGCTTGGCATGGCTGCCTTTTTAGTTTTTTAGGGGGGGGAGGGTTGTTTGTTTTGCTACTCAGTAATGCATCATTACAAAGAAAATACTCTTCTTCTTTTCTTTTTTGCATTCCAAGCCTTACTAGGCTCCCATCTGACCAAGGCCTCTCTTTTCTCTTTGTAAAAATGTTGATAATGCTCTTACCTGATAGCTCCAGTGTCAAATTTTCTATGCTTAGATTGAGATATAACCCACCATTAAAGCTAACTTTGGCATGGAGAAACGTGAATGGTCTAGTGGGGAGATGCATGTTTGCAACTGTATTAGGCTCATGGATCTATAATATACGCCAGATAATGTTTTCTGCTGGCCTCAATTTCCTACCTATAGAATTAAGGGAACGATTTCAAGTGTCTCACAGGTCACCATCCAGGAGAAAAGCATTAAGGACGGTGAGATACTCAAGTAGAGGCACAAATAACAGGCGGATGAACTTGGGATGGTTTGAGATGGTGGGAAAGGGTTGGGAAGCTTCCTTAGCCTGGCAAAGAGTTAAAAATGCAAGCTTAGCCTGGCAAAGAATCAAAAATGCAGGTGTGGAGGCAGGACTGGTTGTTTATCTTATCTGGAAGTACTGGTAAAAACCACAGCAAAATTGCTAGTGTAGCACCCTGCTTGTGGTTAACGCTTAGCTGGAATGAAATATTCAACGCAGCAATAGAGAAATTAAAATAATAATTTATTTGTCAGACAAATAAATGAGAGGCACAGTGGTATATGGTTACCAAGCTCTGGCCTGGCCTCCTGCCATTATGGCCAGCACTTATATTCCCTTAATCCAGCCCCCTTTGCTCCTCCTTTGGCTGCCTCTGTCCAATCAGCCTGGTTGGATTTCCTATTGGCTGATTGCTATAACCAATCCTAAAAGATACACCCATATCCTCCTGTCCTTATATGGAACACAAAGAGCTATATATTGTTACATCTATAAATGACAAATAAGTAGTAATATATCTTACATGTGTCTCAACAAGGAATCTTAATTACCAGCTCACCTCTTGCCCTCCTTGCCCTATTGCCTTCTAAAACAAATGGTTAATCTTAAATTTTTATCTTAAACATATGTCAAGGATCTTGAGTTTCACATCAACATTGAAAGATCTCCTTCATTTGAAGGTTTCTAAACAAATGTCTGACAGCTATATATCAGGACTGCTTGGATGGCGTCTCCTGTCTGGCAGGGGGGCTAGGCTGGTGGCTGACTTAATTTCAGGATAAATACAACTCTTACAACTATATGAAATAAGAATCTAGCATTTCTTAAATCCTTTGCATAATTACATTTAAGCCAATATTTAATACATAACATAGGTAGCATTTTAAAAGGAATAAGGCCTTTTTAAAGTAGAAAAAGGAACTCAGTAAAATACAGCTTCAAAAGAAGCCTCTTCAGTTTACACCCCCCTTTCAGCCAGCTGCTTTCCCCATTTATTGCCCTTCAACTCTCTCAGTTTAAGAAAGAAACAGCTTTTAAAAAAGACTTCCCAAAAATGCTCTCTTTCTGCCAGCTAGATGCTTCTCCATTTGGTCTTTAACCTTAGAAAGAAGATCTGGCTCATTTTACTGGGAGGCACATTAGTATTATTTTACTATTTACTCATTCCTAATTATGTTTATCTCTGCCTTTTTTATCTTCTGTAACATGTAGGGTCAGTGTCCTCGTTCTCAGTCTGTAATTCCAGCTTTTACGACTTTGAGAATTGTTTTCTGCTATAAATCAAGGGGCCCCTTGTCTAGGAGGAAAACATTGCCAGTGTTCTCTAAACAGCTAGTCTTCTTGCCTGGCATGAAACATTTGAAAATCTAAGCCCATTTAATTTAGGAACCTGATCAAGATATAAGCCAATATAAGTCTTGATTAAAAATGCAGTCTATATTCAGATGCCACACTAGCAGGAGGTGAGTTACAGTTCATGATGCTATTTGACCTGTTCATCTGGAGACGCTGCCATCAGTTGGTTTCAGCATACGTTACCCTTATTGCTCTCCTTATTATTCATCATTTATATAGATCTCTCTTCGAGACAGGCTGCCCATGCGCCCTTTCACACTCCTCTCTTTGAAGGCATCCTCTGTTGGGTGGGCTGGCCAGTCCAAGCCCAGTTTGAAGACAAAGCAGGGAAAGAAGGGAGAGGAGGGCATTAGTCAACAGCCCCCAGGAAGCAGACTGAACAGGCATACACAGGCCACCTGGCCACAGCCTTCCTCACTATGGTGGGGTGCATTGTATTTCTATTTAAATGATAGGAATTATTTATATATCTACATAGGAAGCTGCCTTATGCTGAGTCAGGCCATGAGTCCCTCTCCCCAGTATTGTCTACATTTACTGGCATCAACTCTCCAAGATTCCCAACAGAGAATCTTTACCAGGCCTACCTGGAGAGATGTCAAGGATTGGACCTTGGACCTTCTGCATGCAAAGCAGATGCTCTACCACTAAGCTAAGGTCCTTCCCAAAAGGGAATGCAAATTAACACATGACAAATTTCATCCACTTTGGCAATGTGTAAATCACCACCATACTTCTAGATGAGCTCAAAAAAACACACATCTGTCCAAGGATCCAATATCTGGGGTGGGGCAAAGGGTATGCTCATGTATAGGAGGCACAGTGAACACCTATATTACACTTAAATCATGTACAGTGAGGTCACACACACACACACGGGTGGGGAGAAGAGAGATTTCCCAGCTTTAGTTGTGGAAATAACCAAAGGAAGTGCCTGTCCTGAAGCAGAGCAGATGTGTTAGCCAACCTTAGCCCCACAGAACCATAATGAGTGGTGGGCTTCAGTGGTTATCTGAATGGGCAGGAATGTGGGCCAAAGAGCCGATGTTGCCTTGCCCAGTGCTTCTTTCCTCATCTTAAGTATATTCTGCAGCTGGTATTGTTTGGTGATTTTATTATTTTTTTTAAAAACCATGTAACGGTCTGGATATGTAGTATACATACATGAAGTATATGTAAATCCTCTTTTTCTCAGTGCAGACTCAGCCTTAGGTTATTCCTTTTCTAGGGCATTAAAATACACTAACAAGCAGATTCGTTGGGATTCACTTTTAATAGGGTAGCTGCAGTTTATGCCATGGCAGCTGAAACTGGAGTGCCCCTTCCTTGAAGCTGATAGCTTTCGTTTTGTTGAAGCTAAATTCAAACACCACAGAAAACCAATCTGGTGAACTTAAATGCTTTTGAGTTGTTGGCTCTCCAGTACCTTAAAAGGAAAACAAACCAGCCTCTCAGAAATCTTTGCATTCATTAAATATGCTCTTTCAACCCTCCCATAGTACTACGGGAAGAAACCTGATGTTCCCAATGGGTAGTCAGCCTCAGACCTGTGTCCCACATCCAGTGGTGCCATCAAGGCAGGATTTGGGGACAGATGTCCAGGGCCTTATTTCAGCATAATGAGCAGGAAGCAGGAGAGGAAACATGAAGGATTTGTGGGAAGACATAAGGTTTAAGAATGGCATTTTCTTCTGGTGATTTCAGGCAACACTTGTTTTCTTTTTCTTCATTACATTTCTATACCGCCCGTCCTCTGAGGATCACAGGGCGGTTGACAATATAAAAGCACAAAGCACATACCCTAGTAACAGAGAAAAGCAATAAATCCACCCTCGCACACTTTAAAAAGCCATCAATTGTTTAATTAGCCAAAAGATTGGGTTTTTGCCTGGCACCTAATTTAACACTAGCAATTTAACAGATTTGAGAGCTCAGGTGGAAACTATTGCAAAGAAAGCAGTAGTGTCAAAGAGCAGAGCTTGACATTATACTCTGTGTGAAGACAAACAATTTTGTATATGCTGATCATTTCGTTTAAGAATCACTTCACATGAGGCATCCTGAAAACAATGCTATTTAATAAAAACATATATAAAACTATATATTCAAATCCATTATAGATACTAACATCTCCATCTAAAAGGCCTGTTTTATGCATGTTTATGGCCAGTGATTCATCGCACTTCAAAAAATAAAATCAAAATTCTGCCATGAGAAAAGCAGTTGTCATTGGGTTTGCACATCGTGGCACACTCCACACCACTGAGTGCGTATGTGCCCCTGGCCACACCCAGGAATGCCAATACCCACTTTCTGCAATCTTGGGTTTCCAAAATTAGGTTGATCTGATACCTTCTAGCTTGGCCCCACCCTTTAACTCTTCTTGAAAACAAAAGGAAGTCACCACAGATCGTTAAAAGCAACAAGAAAACAACTCCTTTTTTTAAAAAAAAAGAAAGACACCCAGCCTGTTACAGATCATAGTGCTTTGGCCAGCCTATGCAATAGCAGCAACTTAATACTCTTTGGTTGGTCCTTGACAAGAGATGGAACCTGCTCAGATGGTGACTGGATCATTGATGACTGAAACCTGGAGCGGAGATTTTGAGTCATCAGCTATAGACAATTATGGTGACCTGGTGAATTATGACATTTGCCCCCTGCAAGAACTGCCATTTGCCTATATCGTTATCCCCACCGTCTACTACATTACTTTCCTCATTGGTTTCTTCGGGAACCTCTTTGTGATCCTGTTGATGGCACGAAAGGAAGGCCGGAAGAGGCTCGTGGACACCTTTGTCCTCAACCTGGCCGTGGCTGACCTGGTCTTCGTATGCACCCTGCCTTTCTGGGCTGTATCAAAAGCCCTCGGTTACTGGTGCTTTGGTGAGGGGCTATGCAAGTTGAGTAGCTACGCCATCACTGTGAACCGTTGCTCTAGCATCTTGTTCCTGATGGGCATGAGTGTGGAACGCTTCCTCGTGATGACCAAGCAGTGGGATTCCAGGACCATCAGCACCAAGAAGAGCATAGCTGTGAGCTGTGGTTGCATCTGGGTGTTCTCCCTTCTGCTGGGGATGCCATCTCTATTCTACAGAAAGTTGAACCTGGTGGATGACAAGTATTTGTGCCATGACATGCCCTCCCCCACCTTCAGCTTGATTATGCTCATCTTGACCTTCCTCCTGCCTTTGGGAGTAATCTTGTTCTGCTACTGCTCTATCTTCTCCAAGCTTCGGAGCCATGTCCACCTAGGCAAGAGGAGAAACAATGCCCTCAAGATCATCTTTGCCATCGTTGGAGCATTCATCTGTTCTTGGCTGCCCTTCAACGTCTTAAAGCCATTCTTCGTCTTCACCATGGCCCAGGACATCCATCTCTCCTGCTCAAAAATGATGGCTCTCACGTGGGGGCTGACCATCAGTGCTTGCCTGGCATTCGCAAACAGCTGTGTTAACCCTATCATCTATGTCTTTATGGATCAGCAATTCCGACAGCAGGCCCTGAAGCATTTCCCTGCTTTCTGCAGCAAAAGGGGAAATGTGCAAAGTTCAGCCCTGTCCTTTTCATCCAGACACGAGCCTCCTATTTGCCAGCAGGAAGAAGCCCACACCAGCAACATCAGCTCGGGTAGGAGACCCAGAGAGCAAAGGGGTAGGTTTGTAAGCCTCCAAGAATGGTATAATGTTGGCTGGAATGCTGTGAAAAGCCAGCAAGATTTCTGGGCTATGCTAGTTGGGGAAAGGAGCGCAAGGAGATGAGTTAGAAGCCTGTACTAAGTATGCCAAAGGAATGTGTATAAAGATTCTGACCATTTGATGTAAATCACAGTAATATCAAGGAGGTAGAATTCAGTTATCCAAACATGTATATCAAATGCATAAAATCAACTCCCGATTATGTAAATTGCCCACCAATTGCTACTGCACAATAAGCAGGCAGATTTAACCTATGTAAGACTTCATAAAATGATTTCAGCTGTCTAAAATGGTGGTATTGTAGATTTAAATAGTTGCAATTACAGTAATATATGCTGGTGAAAAGTGACTGCTTTTAGCTGTATGTACAGTTGCTTGCCATCTGCTTATCTCCCCATATCTAGATTTCATGTAGCTTTTACTAGTTTGATGAACAGCTGTTGATCCTTGGTTGAAAATATGCTTAAATGAATAGAGAAGGAAGATGAAAAAAGTTGTTGTGTAATTCTATAGCAAATATTCTTTGAAGCAATAATGTGAAAAACCACCTGCCAAAAAAGCAATAAACATTGTATGTTTAACTAAACAATAACTATGCATTTTATTTTATTTTATTTGTCCTCTTACCATGATGAAGCTGTTCCAATTTTGTTTTTCAAACAGTTTTGTTTCCCTGAAGTCTGGGTTTCTTACAGTAAGCTTCCTTAATTTTGTTTAAAAAATATATAACTCTGCAAATTTGTGTGACCTTGTTCCTTAACCAAAAGCAGGAAAACTCTTCACACAACAATAAATTCAAGACTACCTTTCACATAATTCAAGTCTATGGCTGAGAGCAGCTAAGTCATGAAATGTTGAAGGTGTCAACTAAAAGGAAAATGGGGTGGGGTAGGGTAGGGTAGGGTGGGGAGACTGGCCAGCTTGAAGCTGTAACGCAAGGGTGAGTGTTTTTGAGGTTGAGGACAATATTACCACAGTGGACAGCTGCTGGGGGTCACATTTCAAGAGTGGGCAAGGCTAGTCCCACATGCAATTACACGTTCTTCACACATAATACGCACACACCTATTTCCTATTGAAACAGGGGCACATATTTAATTCTTAAGCTATATACCTTTAATGTACCTTTAAGGTATATTCAAAGCTCCCCCCACCTGAAGAATCCTGGGAACTGTAGTTAAAGGGTGCTGGGAATTATAGCTCTGTGTGGGGTAAACTACAGTTCTCAGGACTCTTTGAGGGGATGTGCTTGAAATGTATTTAATATTCTTGTTGATATTCATCACCATATACACAAGCATCTCAATGTGATGTACAATTAAAACAGCAAAAAGTGTTTTTAAAGCACCACAGATATATTTAAGAAACAATACAGTACAAAATAGGCACTCATGCCAGAGACCCATTCATCTAACTGGGAAAGCCTATCAGACAAAATGGTCTTCAGTTGTTTCCGGAAAGTGCAGAGAATAGGTGCCTGACATATCTCATACTATTCTGAAGAACAGAGGCAGCTGCACCAAATTTGCTGCTTCCAGTTACCATGGAACAGACCTCTGACATCTTTTGAACCTGCAGAAGCTGTGCTGCAGACCTCACGGTGACTTACTGGGTATATAAGGGATAATAAGGTGGTCTCTGAGGGACGCGGGTGGCGCTGTGGGTTAAAGCCTCAGCGCCTAGGACTTGCCGATCGAAAGGTCGGCGGTTCGAATCCCCGTGGCGGGGTGCGATCCCGTCGTTCGGTCCCAGCGCCTGCCAACCTAGCAGTTCGAAAGCAGCCCCGGGTGCAAGTAGATAAATAGGGACCGCTTACCAGCGGGAAGGTAAACGGCGTTCCGTGTGCTGCGCTGGCTCGCCAGATGCAGCTTGTCACGCTGGCCACGTGACCCGGAAGTGTCTGCGGACAGCGCTGGCCCCCGGCCTATAGAGTGAGATGAGCGCACAACCCTAGAGTCTGGCAAGATGCAGCTTGTCACGCTGGCCACGTGACCCGGAAGTGTCTGCGGACAGCGCTGGCCCCCGGCCTATAGAGTGAGATGAGCGCACAACCCTAGAGTCTGGCAAGACTGGCCCGTACGGGCAGGGGTACCTTTACCTTTTAAGGTGGTCTCTCAGGTTGCCTGGTCCTGAGCTGTACAGGCCTTATATGAGATAACTCATTTCATGTTATGGTGTAACTCCACTCACGTTACGCTATCCCTTTTCCTAACAGACTTTAAAAACAAAACAAGTTTTGTAAATATAAGGGGGGGGGGGAGCTCTTCAACTCTGGCACAATTCCCAGCAGCTTTAACAAACTGCAGTTACCAGGATTCTTGGGTGGCAGATATGCTTTAAATGTGCTGTGCGGCTGCAGCCAGGCTTAAAAAAACACACAGCAAGCTTCTATTGCCAAAAAAGAAAAAGAAATGACTGGGTTGGGGTGTGGGAGAAATGCCGCTTCTTAGACCTGCACTGACTAATTACGAAACACAGTCTTTCACAGAGACTTTGATTTTATTTTTTTTAACAGGTTCATCATAAGGTTTGCTGAAACTTAGGTTCTTAGCATTTAGCTCTGAGGCTAAATGCACTTAGAGAAAAGAATTAGCCCAAATCACTACTTGTTGAATGCAGTGCAATGATCCGTCGAAAATCTATTACTGTATGCAACAATCAATTTCAGCTTTGTGGTTTGCATTAAAATAAAGCTGCATAGCTAAGCATGCTTACTTGAAAGTTACGGAAACTTACTTCAGAGCAGGTATGTTCAGGATAGTAACATTAATATAAAATATTTTCCCTTAAGAAACCCAAAGCACACCTTCCCCCACTCAAACAAACAAAAACCCACGCACTTTTCAACCTCTGTGGCTTTTCTGGTAGCGATGATCCCACTACAACATCCAAGAAAATATACACTCGAAGACCCTCTTTTGTTTTTTCTATAACAAACACGGCCACCCGCCTTAAATTTAGGAGCAGCACAGATCTTTAACGGGACGGCGAACCCTAACCCTAACCCAAAAAAGAATTAAAAAACACTTAAATATGGATAGGGTTTTGTGTTGTTTTTTTTAAAAAAAGAATCGAACAATTTCGAGGAGAAAAGCCCTGGCCGCTTATCATCATGGCACGTTTTTCTGCTCTACGTAACTCCTGAAGGACAAAACAGCACTTGGAGCAAAAACCTCTCTCTGTAAAACTGCGCGTCGAAAGGCTCCGCGGGGATGAAGCCGCTGCGCCTCCGCCGCCCAGCTAGCGCGCAGCAGCGTGGGCGCTTTGATATACCGGACAGGAAAGATCCCGGGGGAAAAGAATGGAGATGCTGCTTCTGCGCGGGGACATGTCCTGCCTTCAAAATCTCAAAGCCCAGGGGGCACATCCACAACACCATACTTTTAGAACCAGTGTTTGTTTTCTTTTTTAAAAAAATGTTTAGGGGGTACTCTCATTTTGACTCGAGAAAATCAGCATTTTATTGTTCAGATCGGGGAAAATAAATACAGTAAATGAACAAAAGTACAAAGATTCGCAAAATGTCTAAGGCGCGTCCCCCCAGAAAAAGGACTGTTTAGAACACATTCAAGGCTTAGTTCACCAGCAATTTCTCAGAAAGATTTTTTTTTTTTAGGGAAGATATGACCAGGGCCTCTGAATAATAATAATAATAATAATAATAATAATAATAATAATAATAATAATAATAATTTATTATTTATACCCTGCCCATCTGGCTGGGCCTCCCCAGCCACTCTGGGCGGCTTCCATAAAAACCACAAATACAGTAAAATATCACACGTTAAAAACTTCCCTGAACAGGGCTGCCTTAAGATGTCTTCTGAAAGTCAGGTAGTTGTTTATCGCTTTGACATCTGCTGGAAGTGCGTTCCACAGGGCGGGCGCCACTACCGAGAAGGCCCTCTGCCTGGTTCCCTGTAGCTTTGCTTCTCGCAATGAGGGAACCGCCAGAAGGCCCTCAGCGCTGGACCTCAGCGTCCGGGCAGAATGATGGGGGTGGAGACGCTCCTTCAGGTATACTGGACCGAGGCCCTGAGATACTGCCGCCCTGGCTGAAGCCTAATCTATTATCTTCTGATTTTGAGCATCTGCAAGAACAGGCAGCATTATTCCATGAGATGCCAAGGTATGAATGAGCCCAGCCTCAAGTTTGCTAAAATAGTAATAATGATATTGATCTAAAACTTGCATCCTGCTCCCCCCCCAAAAAAGAGAAATTCTAAGCTTCTTGCAATAAAACAAAACCCCACAAAATACATTGAGAACCATCAGAAAATATCAGCATCGTAAGAAGAGAAATCCAAAATTAACAAAACTAACAAACAACTCAACACCCAGGAAAAACCAAGCGAAGGCAAAGAGAAAGGAAAACAATTCTAACATATTCATAATAAGTGGAGAAATGCTTTCCAGCTGAAGGCCTTCCTAAAAACTCAGATTTGGGCCAAATCCCTAAACCCGAAAAACTTCAAGGCTTGGTGAATTTAAATAGGAAGCAGACTCCATGGGCTGTGCCATCATAGAGAAGGCACTACAGTGGTACTTCAGGTTAAGAACTTAATTCGTTCTGGAGGTCCGTTCTTAACCTGAAACTGTTCTTAACCTGAAGCACCACTTTAGCTAATAGGGCCTCCCGCCGCCACTGTGCCACCGGAGCACAATTTCTGTTCTCATCCTGAAGCAAAGTTCTTAACCCGAGGTACTATTTCTGGGTTAGCGGAGTCTAACCTGAAGCGTCTGTAACCCGAGGTACCACTGTATTTGTAACTGCTTGCTGGCCCTTAGACAGCCACTCTCTGCCCCCTCTGTGTTATCAGCTTTGCTGTCCTCCACACACTGCAGCAGGGGGCTTCTATACTCATGTTAGTAAATCATGCAGGAATCCCACATGAGCAGAGAAAAGGGCGCTAATGCAGAAGTTGGGCCCCAATGCAGGATGTAATGGCGATGTGACAGAGAGAGCTGAGGCCAGGGCCTTCTTAAGCATATCTGGCGCCGTGGTGCAAAGATCCCTCCGGTGCACCCCCCGGGCAACTCCAAAAGAAGGGAGGGGGCGATGGAAAATG